ATTACTAAACAGGGGGAGGGGGTGAAGTGGCAAAAGGGAGGGAGAGATCAGACTGGAGCCTTCCTTCATTCATCAAACACTGTCACTGAGAAGGGAGGGCATTGTATATGGAGTTGTTTCAATGGACTCAAGCTTGGGTTACAGTGACAGAGGGGAGAGCAGTGGGACACTGTTTGTAGCCTACGGGAGAATAATGTTGCTGTACAGAAGTAAAGACCCGCTTCCCAGATTTAAAGAAGAGAGTTTTTCTGTTTCACAGTGCTGTAATTACTGAAGTAGAAATGTCAGGGTGCTCCTCTTGTATCGTGTGACTTGCCAGAGGCTGCAAAAGGGCTTATGACTAGTACAATGGAGGTAATCTTCAATCAGAGCAAAAACTAGAGATGCAAAATTGTTCTGCAAGGAAAGCAAAAACTCTAAGTATAGCACTTGATTGGAGCTTTGCAACTGTGAGAATTTTCTGCTTTTATTTTTCACTTTCAAAAAGAGTACACAAAGAAATCTGTGACTAATAGTCAAATAATTAGTTGCAGCCCAGTTTCTGTCTAGCTGCCTACATATATTTCTTCATATTCTCACACGTCTTTGTTTCTGCCTACAGAGCAAAGTCAAATTGGATGCAGAGAACTGAGGTCCACTAAGTACATCTCTGATGGTCACTGCACCAGCATCAACCCCATCAAGGAGTTGGTGTGTGCAGGCGAGTGTCTCCCAGCTCAGATGCTGGAAAACTGGATTGGCGGAACCCATGGCAGAAGGTTCTGGAATCGACGGAGCAGCAACCAGGACTGGCGGTGCGTCAATGACAAGACCCGTACCCAGCGCATCCAGCTGCAGTGCCAGGATGGCAGCACAAGAACTTACAAGATTACAGTGGTCACCTCCTGCAAGTGCAAGAGGTACTCGAGACAACACAATGAATCCGGAAACAAGTTTGAGGAGTCGGCCCTGTCGCCACCGAGGCTCCTCCACAAACACAAATCTAAGAGCAAGAGAAGGTCGGGGAAGAACAGGCTGAGTGAAAACTGGCACGAGACTGAACCCTGAGAGACACTGAACATGCAGAGTGACTCTAAACCTCAAGAAGTTTTGTCTCAGTGATGTTAAGACACGACATCCAGAGACAGCAGTTGTGGATTATATGTGTGTGACTGGGACTTGATTTATGTGAACTGGTTCCTCACCATGATGAAGAACTCCAAGCAGGACTCTGAGAACTTTTCTTGACATTTTAATCCACATGCTTAAAGCTAATATGACCAGGACTTGTCTGCAGAATGTTCTCCAGCCATGAGCCATGCATAGACTGTCCTCTAGCCCTGTGCACGTGTTCATATAGTCATTTGATATGCAGATGGAGATCTTTAACTAACGAAGCGCCAACACCAGTAAACACTACCCAACATCTTAAAGGAATATTGTGTAAATAGATGTACATATATAAAATTCATGCTTTATAAAGTATGTCCATTTGTATAAAATTTTACCATGTAAGATTTATGATGTAATATATTTTATTTGGCAGCGAACCTGATAAGTGTGGCTTAAGTGCAGTCAGCATGTGGGTGAACCCTCTGGAAAAGCTTTGTCATCAATCAGTCGTGTAAAAATAACATTGTATGAAATAAATATCCTTTTTTTTTTTATATGTGTTGTTTCTAGTAGGAATTTTTGGTTTGATGTGTTTCATCTTCAAGAGGGCTCTCATTAAAACTTAAAAAGCCTCGGCCATAAAATGCACCAATAAATTTATATTTTTCAGGTAAGAAAGCTGGATGGATTCAGCACTGGCATATAGCATAATTTCTGCCATAAACACATTTCCACCTATCTGCAGTGTAAATGGTCTTGAAACATCTCAGGAATTAGGACCTCCCAGTCCTGACCAGTGGTCCTGCAGACAGGAGCTGGCAAATATTTCCCACAATTTTTTTTGGAATTAGTTCTTTACTAAAATGGGAAATTAAACACTGTAAAGTTTAAATTATACTAATACAAACAATAAATGAAAGAACAGTAGATGAAACTGATTAAGATGCTTCTGGATTCAATTAAATTGTTTGAGTATTGTTAACATTAGAAAATTACTGGGCTAATTGTGTTAATCAAAAATAAAAATCCCCTGGACTTCTTTGGAAACCAGAAAGACATATGTACAAATGAATGCATAGAATAAAAAGTACATTACAGGTGCACAAATGTAAGTATTTCTAAAAGTTCTCACTTTTACATCCTGCTTTTTCCTCTTTAAGGACCACATATTAAAGGGAAAACACTGTTTTCTTACTTTTCTTCAAGTCACATAAACTTCACAAAGTGAAGTTCACAAACTGTCACCTTTAATCCTCTGTTGTGAAGTGTAGTTAACTTTTTAAATCAAAATAAATACTCTACGAGCTGTTGTGAGTTCATAAATTTTACATTTGCAACTTTCAAACGCTTTTATTTTTATTTTGAAACGTTCACCGGAAGTGTTCGCCATCGATAATTGCCCGCTTCACAGCGGTGGTTCCCTATTTTCCTCCTTTCCATCCACGTTTTCGGTATCTTACCCACCCCGCCCATCAGAAGGGAATGGATAGCTTTGGAAAGTAACCTACAGTGAAACCCCTCACACCCCTATCTGTAAACATATTGAGGTCAGTAATATGAACACGCGGGGTGATAACTGTGAACCGCACAGGCCCGCTCATCCCGGGATTTTCACAAGGTGCGAGGCCGGGAAGAGCGACCACCACTCGGCAGAACGCTGCGTGGACTTCCCTGTATCGGTGGTTCTACCTGCCGGAGGCACCGGAGAAAGAACGGGACTACAGACACCAAAACAGTTCTGCACGTTTCTTGGCAGACCGCTCATAAGCTACACTATTCAGGCTTTCGAGAGGTAGGAAACGTCTACGATAGGAGAGGCGACAAGATTCAATCCCTGTTAGTTATTAGGGAGACACGGAAATAGAAGGAAAAATGCCTCAGCTACTGCCACCATGGCCGGATTAGTGGCTCCGGTGGCCCATGGGCAATATTTAATCGTTGGGCCCCCGCAGTGCACAGTACAGTCAATGTCTGATTGCTCATTAAAAATCATATTAAAATATATATAAATAATGAAATTGGGGGGAATACTGGTTTTTAATTCAAAAGAAAACAGCTTTGGTAATTCGAATATTTGCTTTGGCTTCAGCAAATATGGTGGGCATGTTTTCCTATGTTGTGACATTATATGCACAAAAATCAACTGATTGTTGATGATTTCTATTTTCAGTACATTTCCTGGCTTCCATTAGTTATGAAAATAATTTAAAATAGAAAAATAGCTCATTCCCACTCATGCATTTTCAGCCTTTCTACAGCAATCATCCCTATCCTGTTGAAAATGAGCTGTACTGAAAAAATCCAAATCTGGTCACTCGTTTTACGCAGTCCTGTATTTGATGTGCAGATGTGGCATACATGTTATGCTTTGCAGGCGAATGAACCCTAAGATCAGGTGTACTGGTAGGGCTGTGCGATATGACCAAAATCTCATGTCCCGATATAAGACATCTATCGTCC